ATCTGTGTTTTGTTCATTGATATATCCTCAGTACCAAGAACAATGCCTGGAAATAGGAGGCACTCAGTAAATACTTGTTGAATGAATGTTTTAGCCACAGGGGTTCCTGTTACAGACAAATATTATTGGGACAGGTGACACATTTAGCTGCAAGCTTCCAATTGAGCCACTAACACATCTTATAAGCTAGAACTGGAACTACAAGTGACATATCTTTGACATCTCTCCTTTACAGCTCATTCCTTCAACATATTCTTTGCACCAGTGTTCTGGTCTTCTCCTCAGGATGGGGAATAGGTACAGTCAACATCACTTGCTTAGGTTTGTCCTCCCTAGAATAATTTGGTCCTTTTCCTCTTCATCTCTCTGGAGTCCTCACTCTGACCCAGTTCGGCAAGTCCATATAATTGAAAAAATGAGAAGTGGTGTCTCCATTAAAAAAAAAAAAAAAAAGGAGATTCCTAAATTAGGCCAAATCTATAGCCTTGAACAAATCTGATTTAGCTTATTGACATCTAGAGAAAATACAAATGGCCACTAGACTTTTATAACAAGAGAGAAGGATAAGGGATAGTAGTAAAACCAGCAAAGGGCTGGGATAGGAGCTCAGTGTTACTAGAGGTTAACATGAGAGCACTGGAAGCAAGAGAGATGAGCATGGATGGAAGGAATGGACCACCTCATGGGGCAGCCATTGTGAGACACAGATCTTATTTTGGCTTAAGCTGGACTCCTGTGTTAACTCACCAAACGTTTTATGGGGCCACCATAGTGCTGCTGGATACCCTAGAGGAAGCTGCTCCAAGAATTCTTGGAAACACCCACTGAATGAGAAATGCCCGTAGAAATATAGCAAATAATCTTTCCTGCTAAAGCTTTTCTGAAGATCCCAGGCCACTTCCACAGTGCTCTCTATACTATAACACTCTAATAACCATATGGATCAACCAGAGGGGAGCTGAGTTCTTGCTTCATTAAGTACTGGGATTTTGCACATAATAAGTCCTCAAAAACTCTGCTTCTTACATAGCACTGAATTTAACCTTGGTCCAAAAAAAAGAAATCAACACTGAAAGTATCAAATCATAGTAGTGGGCATATGTAAGCATTCGATAACCATTAACTCCTGCTTCCTATCTCTCTTATTCTCCTCTGGTACCCAACCCATCTCCTCCCCCCGCCTGCCCCCCCAAACCTCCTTTGAGATGACTATGTTCCATGTTTGTCTCTTTCATGGTGTATCTGTATTTCTTATTTGGCCCCAGATGTCAGATTGGCTTGCATTACTCCAGGATGAATCATATGATTTCCTGTCCATGTTCCTAACCTTTCCAGCTCCTCTTGTATCATTTCTCAGTCATCCCTGCTGTTTACAATACCTCTCAATTTAAAGCCATCTGCAAATCTCATTAACGAAACACTGATCCCTCTCCCCCACAATCACAGGACATGTTGAATAAAACAAGACCTATTCTCTTCCTTCCATTCGAGGTACTAGCACCCTAAGGTACTTTAATTTATTACCATTTTTAATATGACTATATTATGCATTTGCTCCTATTCTCTGCAAATCTAATGTGAAAATCAGGATTAATCATTTTTTAAATTGTTATTCACTTTACAAAAAATGTAATACCTTTAACTAGTCATATTTCTGAGTATTCTTACTCTTTACCTTACAAAAAATAATCACTCAACTTTTCAAGGCTAGGTATAGACTTGGATATAGGTATTTAATGTCCTTTTGCCACTTCAGTTTGTAAGAAATTGTTTCTTTGTAGAGTTTTGAGAAAACTTAAATTCTTCTATTTTAATAGTGAGCTTCTGGGGAACCCACCACTTTTCTCACTGCTGATTCACTGGATCTTGGCTTCAACTTTTCTCACTCTTTTTCCTGATATACTAAAAATGTTTTCAAGTCTTCCTTCCTTCCTCAAAAACTTTCTGAACCTTTTCAATGTTCCAAGCATTGTGCTAGGTGAGGGGATAATAGAGCTCCATCTTTTATGATGTTCTTGATCCAGGAAAGAACCTGAGGGAAGTAACACTGTTGACACCTGCCATATTCTGGATCTGCGGTGTGTTGTCCCATTTACCAGTAGACCACACGAAAGCCCCATTTTACAGGTAAGAAAACATGTTGCAGAGAAGTCCGGAGATTTGCCTTTTATGTGGAATATGAATAGACAAGTCACAGAAATACAAATGGACGACAGCCATATGGGGAAACATATTCAACCTTACTAATTATCAAATAAATGCAAATTAAATAAATAAAAATATTATTTTTTACCCATGAAGTTGGTGAAGAGAGAAGGAATGTGTAAAGCTGGTGGGGTGGCAGTAATCAGGCTCCTCCATAGGGCTGCAGAGAATATAAAGTTCAATCTTCCTGAAAACAATTTAATATGTAGCAAGGACCATTACAGAGGAACTTACTTTAATGTCCCTCACAAGGGAATGAAATAAACAATGCTACATTTATACAATGAAATTACACATAGCTTTTAATAATCATATAGATTATGTAATGACCTACAAGATTTTCTGAATACTAAGTGAAAAAGCATATTACAGAATAGTACATACTATGGGATTACAATATATACAGGGTTGTTCATGTGTGTGAGTACTAGTATATAGAAAAAAAAAGACTGGAAGCATAGATACCCATGTTAACGGGGTTTTCATAAGAGGTGGAATGGGGCTCTTTCTATTAGTATCTTCTACATTTTAATCATTAAAAAACAAACACATAAAAATATTCATTCATTCAGATTCAGTTATTCCACTGCATTGCAATAAACAGTAATGCAGATTAAGAATCAAGTAATTTGCTCAAATCGCCATTTTGGTATCTTGTGTTAAGCCTGGCTTTCAACTCTAAAGTCCACTGTCTTTCTACATCCCATTCTTCATCTCCGTAGTTCCAATTATATCATATCTAAACTTCTGTGTGTGTGTGTTTTCCTCTTAATTTCTACTCCTACTATACCTCTTTTCACCTTCTTCTAAACCATTTTCGAAGTAAAATAGTCACCCTCTGAATTAGCTGCTATATGTAATATAAAATGTAAAACATCTTCATCAGATAGATGAAAAAGGAAATTTCCTCCCTCATGGTAAAACTGGGACAACCCATATCATCAGAATAGGCACAATCTGACAGTCTTCAAATAAGTTAGTTTGCTTCTTGCATTTAAAATAAAACTGAAATCTGTTTGATCTTAACTGTGATATTTAGTAAGTGTCATCTTTCTACACAAAAAGATTTCTTAACTTTTTCAAAGTGGGAATTCTTGAGAGGATCACCTTTCCCAAACTAGGATCTGAGCAACCAATCCTTAATTGTATTCGCACATGTTAACATTTTCCTATTCTTTTCACTCCCTTACTCAAAAAGTAGGATAAATGTAATAATCTCTTTCCCACTTGGAAGAGTACTTTTGGAGCCTTGAGTTGGCTGTGTTGGAAATTAGAAATGTCTTTGATGATGCACAGCTGTCTTCATTTCTTAATCACACAGGTCTAACGCATTCCAGGAGGCTGACTAATGTACCTGGAGAAAGGGACCCTAGTTTCTCATTCTTTCTCCTGAAGTCTTATCAGTTAGATCTAGAAGGGACCAGTGTCTCCTTTGCTCTACAACTGGAAACTTTCTTACATGATGATATTGAGTCAGACAGATCCTTACATTTCCCCACCACCACCCCTTCTTGTTCTCATAACCAGTCCTCTCAAACATATGGGCAGCACTCAGTGATCTCACAGGTTCCCTTGATCTCAATCTTCCTGCTATGGAGATTCACTTAGGACAAGATCCCATTATGACAGAACTTAAGTTTTCCTACCAATAGCTTCTATTATTGGCAAAGGAAAAACAGAGCGCTGTTTATCTTGTAGCGTACCATCACTGGACAAGTAGTTACCCAGGAGTTTCTGAGCACCCAAATGGCTCCAGACCAAAGCCAAGCCTCTGAGCTGGGCAACTAAGAAGCAAAGTTTCTGAAGTTCTTTGTTGTGTGGTTCTCTGGTTTGTGACTCCAAATGCTGTCTTCCCTCAAAAGAATTCCATTATTCCATAATACTATTCTTTCCTGCTCTTTTGCTGAAGATAAGTAATCATTGTCATCCACCTCAATCCACCCAAGGACTGTTCATCTGGAACCCAAAGTTCATAAGCAACTAAGATTTGTGTTCTTTAGGGATAGCGGGCATCTCATATGAGAAAAATATATACTTACCTGAACAGCTCTACTTGGAAGACTGATGCATTTTACTATATGTAAATTATACCTCAATTTAATAAAATACATTCTAACAAAGATACTCATTCTCTCAGGGAACCTGCCCTTACTTGACTAACAGCTCTACCACGGTTCTCTATACCCATATATCCTACTCCAGCCAATGTTGCTCAATGGTTGAGCATCAACCTATGAACCAGGAGGTCATGGTTTGATTCCCAGTCAGGGCACATATGGGGGTTGCAGGCTTGGTCCCTGGTAGGGAGCATGCAGGAGGCAGCCAATCAATGATTCTCTCTCATCACTGATGTTTCTATCTGTCTCTCCCTCTCCTTTCCTCTCTCTGAAATCTATAAAAACATATTTTTTTTAAAAGCAGAAAAAAACGTATCTTCCCTCCTAACTAAAATTGCACTGTTTTTCTCAGTGTATGTCTTCCATTCAATTACATGGGACATTGCTGGACTATCTAGGTGGGCAAAAGGGAAACTTTTCAAAAACTTAGACTGCCAAAGGGATGAGAACTGTAGCCCTGAGAAGTTGTGTGAGTTGTCTGAGGTCATGCACATAGCAGTGGTCTAGGGAGCAGGCCTCTAACCTCACTTGGCCTGGGTGGAAAGAGCACAGTGATCTCAATGCACCGTAGAAGAATAAACATTTTAAAAAGAACAATCCCCTACCTACCTCAGTCCCAACACTGAGTAACTGTTTCAACCACCCAAAAATTCACCTCAAGGAATAAATAACATCAAGTCAGGATTTAATAAACATCCAGGCAATTTGAGATTTTATTGTGAAAACAGCTATTTTGACATTATATCCAGTTTCTCATTTATCAGAATAAATTCTTTACAACATTATCTTCATCACCAATTCTGGGCATTTATATATTGTCTCTGAGTAAAACATACTCACACTAGACAAAGCTAGAATATTGAAATTATGACCAAAATTGCTTATTTTAAGATTGTTTGTAACAAAACCATAGTATTTTTACTGGAACTGATATTTAAAATGTTTACCATTCAAAGATAAGCTTGGTGGATCAAAGCCAATAATTATGTACACACATATATTTCTTACTCATCTTCTCTGCTGTCCTTCTTCCAGAAAGCTAAAGTTACATCCAAACACCTCAAATTTCCACTTCAAGACAAACAGAAAAATGGAAAGACATTATTTCCTATTTTACAAAATAAGATATAAAATCAAAAGAGAAATAAAACTCATCTTTATGTAATTAACATAAAAGCTTGAGTACACCTTTCCTTTGCCAAGAAATAAAGACGCCAGCAATGCAAAAGGAGCCAACAGTGCAAAGAATGAAAGGCCAGCACTACCTTCTCTGTAGTTCAGGACTCGCTAAGCACTGATGCAAATTCTGGCACGTCATTTTCCTTGATCTCCAAGGATCTGGGATATATAAACTCAATGATTAAAAGGCATTTCTCTGACTTTGCATGAGGAAAACTGAAGAATCAGAACAAAGGTTCAACTGCTTTTCACATGGCTAGATGTTCCCCATTACACAACTCAAAACCCAAAGGCAAGCTTTCCATCAAATGCACTCCAAAGCATTGCAGGTGTTCCGAATCTGCAACTGTACACACTACAGAAGACAGACAAAAGCATCCTTGTACCTGATGAGTAACCTGGTTTTATACTGGAAATGAAATTAAACATACTTAGTCCTCTGCAATGTGGAGGCTAGTGAGGTTTAAAATTTGGGGGATATAGAAACTGCTGAGAATTTAATAAGAACTATAAACCCTCATGCCAAAAAATATACAATTCATGTTTAGACTGTCTTCAGGAATGTCTATCAGAACTTGAAAACATTAACCTTCCTTTGCTTTGTTCTTAAAGCAACTAAACTTTCTAGGACACTGTGTGTGTGTGTGTGTGTGTGTGTGTGTGTGTGTGTGTACGCGCGCGTGCCCGCGTGCATGTGTGTATACACATACTTATATACTAGTATGTGCATGTGTATACATACTTATGTGTGTACATATTTATATATATATATATACGTATATAAATATACGTATTATATATATATAAAATAACCAGCTTGTATGTGACTTCAGTGCTATAAAAACGGTTTGGACGATTGTTCTGGAATTCCAAGTTGATTCCCTCTGTCTCCTAGATGCCTATGAACTGGTTAGTTTTCTGAAACCACCAGTTCACAAGCCGACTGGGATTCTAGGGAAGGTGGCGCTCGACTGGCCATGGGTCTACCATGTGCCTACCTAACCAACCAGCACACCTGCAGCCACCCATCTCTCAATTTACGGTCCAAGGGGGTCTTGACCTGTCTCTTCCCATGTACCACCATTCACCAGAGGGACACCAATGGGAAACCTTCGCAGTGAATACAAACACCCAAAACACTCTAGGGCAGCATTTCCCTAAGTGTATTTCTCAGAACACAAATCTCACAAAATACCTATTTAAGGAAATCCACACAAAAATAAGATACAGGTACTTCTTGGAGATTGAAACCACACAATAGCCTACCAAAGGTTCTGAAAGGCCTGCAGTAACTTAACTTTGTCTAACCCAGGGGTGGGCAAACTTTTTAACTCGAGGGCCACAATGGGTTCTTAAACTGGACCGGAGGGCCGGAACAAAAGCATGGATGGAGTGTTTGTGTGAACTAATATAAATTCAAAGTAAACATCATTACATAAAAGGGTACGATCTTTTTTTTTCAATAGTTTTATTCATTTCAAACGGGCCGGATCCGGCCCACGGGCTGTAGTTTGCCCACGGCTGGTCTAACCCGACACTTCCCAAATTTATTTGACTTTATTCATATAATAACGATATATGCTGCCAAAATACACCTTTAGGAACTACTTCTCCAAGAAACTAAAACATGTCTTTAAAAAACTTACAGTATAATTTCCAATCAATAATGAAGATACAAAACGACTTATTTTTCTGTATAAAGAAACTACTTTGTTTTGCTCTGAATACTTTTCTATCAAAACAAAAAACCCTTTCCCCTCTCTATTTAAAAATGTCCACGTCAAAGTTACCCTTTCTTATATCATTGTTCAAGAATGTTAATTCTCATCATTGGCCCCTTCATCTGGAACAAATAGCTGCTGTCTATTTTTGATTCTGAGATTACCTCTCCACCTCAGTCACAATAGTTTTAAGTCTAGGGCAGGTAATCTGCATCCCAACTACATCCCAACAAGAGTTTGGGCTAAATTATTTTGCAAACCCTTATAAAAATATGAAAACATTGAAATGTAAATTCCACAGAACTGAACAAAAACAAAGGCAAAAGATATAATTCCTAACACCAACAACATATACAAAAAGTCCATCCTCACAACCCAAATTATACTCTGTGGCTGTGCTCAGGATTTCAATTAATAAATAAGAAAACCAAGACAAAGTCAATTACTAAATCCCTGTGAGCCTAAGCCAGTGGTCGGTAAACTGCGGCTCACGAGCCACATGCGGCTCTTTGGCCCCTTGAGTGTGGCTCTTCCACAAAATACCACGTGCGGGCGCACACGTACAATGCGATTGAAACTTCATGGCCCATGCGCAGAAGTCGGTATTTTGTGGAAGAGCCACACTCAAGGGGCCAAAGAGCCTCATGTGGCTCGTGAACTTCAGTTTGCCGACAACTGGCCTAAACAAAAAGCACAGAGGCATGCTGCACCTTCTTCATTAGAGTGTGAACCCCCCGTTCATCTCCTAACTCTGGGCGGTTAGAGAGGTAACACATGCAAAGCGAAGGACTACCACCTGGAGACACAGAACTATTTTCAAAATATTTTATCCTCAAGAGTAAACCTAGGTACCAAAGGAAGAAAAAGATAAAAACATTTGTCTTTTTTATGCCTTTTTAATACAAATCATAAATGACAGTTGATGTGGGATCTTTCTCAGGTGGGAATTGCCTGACAATTTTCTAATACTATACCACAAATATAAACACGAAAATAGTCTCTTTTATATTCTCCTCCACCATCACCTCCAAAAGAAAGTAAGTCACAGCAATTTGTTTAAGACTGTGGACCATTTAGCTCAATAAACTCGAACTTTATACAAAGCATATCCTGACAGGCTGATCACAAGCTCTCTGTCCAGTCTGGAAAGCTGTTTCTAGGTATGCAGCATCTCTGCGGTGGTTTGTGCTCACTGATAGCTTCCTAGTATCTCAGTGATTTATACCAAAAGAGCTTAACTAAGTAAACCAACATATAAATTTTCACCTATCTAAACTACATTTTGCATCTTAGAAGTAGTCTGGAAGCATCATGGCCTATGTAGTGTAAGGCTAAAGGCAGTTCAGAGCAGGAATGACCAAAAGGAAATAAATCATATTTAGTCATCTTTACTAATAAAGGACAAATACTTGTTATTCTAAAACTAGAGGCCCAGTGCACGAATTCGTGCACGGGTGGGGTCCCTCGGCACTGGCTGGCAATCGGGGCTGATCAGGGCTGGCCGGCCAGCTGGCCAGGGAAGGGCCCGCGGGAGGTTGGCTGAGGGAGCGCGCGTCATAGCGATCAGTCGACCAGTTGTTAACGGTCGCTTAGGCATTTATATATATAGATGATGTCTTTTGATTAAACTTTCAACACATGAAATCTTACAGTATGCTTATTGGCTGAAGTCTATGTTGTAAGAACATGAGCTCCCACATTCTTATAAAAACTTAAATACATTTTTGTTATTCATGGCCATTAGTGGTTTTACTGACATAAAAACTTACATAGCCCAGTATTATCTCTTTACTTTGCCTATAGAGAAATTTGGAATTAAATTTATCATTCAATTTTATAATCTGTTAGTGTTGGGATAGCTCTTTCTCCCACAAATTTTTTATTTTTTAAAATTTTTATTTTTATTGCCTGTTTTACATGTGTTTGACAATTGTAAGCCACTTCAAATGCGTTTTGGAAGTTTTAATACAAATCATAATGAAAATGACGAACCCTGACTAAAGCATAAACAGATGTCTAGTCAATGTGCTAACCCACCTCCTCCAACATACATCAGTCCTAGAAGACAACACAAAGCCCTCTGGTCATGATTTCTAATGTAGAAATATTCATATGGATTTCGGATTGCTGGAAACTAAAGAAGATTAATGCATAATGTGTACACACTCACTCTCTCCCACCTGTTGCAAAACTTACATGAAATTCATTAGTTACTTTCCCTAAATGCATCCAAACAGATGAACAAGATATTGAAGACCACCTTGTTTCTCACTTTTAAAAAGAAATATTTACAAGGACTTAAAGACTCCTACATAAATAGTTACTGAAATACAGAACAAATTGAGAGAGAGGATGCAGGTCAAACACAGCTGAGCTCACATGAGACAAGTCTTGACTGCAAAGCTGTTTTCTTAGCCTGTGGGTTTCTGCAGGACGTGATAAGGTTTGCTGAGCACCATAGTGATCTTTTAAGACACTAATCAAACACAGGGTCCTATATTTTAAAAATCCCAGAAGTGGTTTTAGGACAACAGAAGCACCTTAGCCACTAAAGTAATATTCTATCATAAGTAAAATTACTTGCACAGCAAATCCTTTAACAGGTCAGCATCCAATAAATAGAAAATATGCTTTAAAATGTACTGCTATTCCCAATTATTCCACTGGATGCTTTAACTATAGTTAAACTACATAAAAAATAATTAGTTGTCATGAAACTTTTAATTACATGATATGCTTATTATGAAAGAGCACTGGTGTGAGCCAAGCATGATGAACTTGGACTGGCACACAGTAGGTACTTCTATTACTCTAGTGGGGTTCCTTTTCAGTAGTGTCTAAGAAAGGGACAAGTTTCAATAAAACTTTACAGCCTGGCATAATAACGATGAGCAACACATTCAGTTCTCCTGAAATCGCTTCCAGAAAGAGATGACCAGAGTTAAAGATATACTGAAATACAAAGGTCTAAAGTTGCCACATTCACCCAATAAACTAAAAGAGCCCTTACTAACCTAGATTGAATATGTCAACAAATACTAAAGTGCATATACATGTCAACAAATACTAAAGTAATACTGAAGTGCATATGGTCAGATTTATATTTATATAACCACTTTTAATATTTACATATGGTACTAACCCCCCCCAAATGATTAGTCTTATGAGAGCATAATTAAAAAGCACATTCCTCATTGCTTTTTACAATTAAATACAGGCTTTTCTATGGAAGTAAATAGAATATTAGGATAGTATATTTTTCCTAATGTCTAAAATTAGGCATCTAATTTCTAAAAAGAAGTAAAAGGCCTCAGCCATAGGACCACATATTAGTTATTTATACTGCTTTAAGAAAACTAAAATTAATAAATTAGCTTGAATAAATTAAGAGTGCACATTCAGAACAGAATTGTAGCTTTTGGTCAGCAACATGTGAACCATGTTTTAGCACAACAGAAGCACCTCAGCCACTAAAATAAGATTCTCTTATAAGTAATTTTTCTTTGCAAAAGGCAAAAATCTGCCAAGATTAAGACTGGTTGTTGTTTTTTAAATATATACAGTACATTATGTTTTCTCCCCCCCCCCCCCCAAGTTCATTTAGTATTTATTTTGGTGGTATTTAAAGTGCATTGCCAGCTAAAAGACAAGCTTCCTAATTTAAAAAAATAGATGTCACAGAAAGTTTCTCTTGCTTTAGAGTCTTCCTCATACCTATTAGCAGCATTTTCTTTTTGTTTTCACACAATTAGTATAAGAGATTACTGCAATGATCATATGACTTTGACACAAAGCATGCTGTCTGTCAGGGTGATAGCCGCTGTAAGGAATCGCTTTCTTCTGCTGCTGGAGTCAATTTAAGTGTTGGCAATTTCCGAGGAGGAAGTTGAGGGCTTTGGCGAAGATTGTCATCCATCTGTGGAAAGCACAAAAGGTACATCTGACTAATGGCTGTGGCACCCCTTATGTGGACTGCGGCTCCCCATCCAAACTATAGCCTAGAAAAGTACAGAACCATATGTCTCTAAAACTGCCAGAAAACCTTTTTCTTGCAAATAATCTCTCAAGAATTCTAAATGTCATACCTCAAATACCAGCTGAATCAGTATATGTAAAAAGCAATATAGCTCATCCTTGGTGCCTTCACAATATTATAGTAAATCCACAAAATGAATGTTCTGTTGAACTCAACCATAGCATGACTTGGTTTAAGAGGTCTTCTAACAGTAAAAGCAATACTTCTGTTATTAAGCTCCACAGTTTACACAGTTTGTACACATACAATACCTCATTTGTTTTTCCCAACATCATTGTGAAGGAAAAAACAGATACAATCACTCCCTATTTTACAGATTAGCAAAATAAAGCTCAGAATGGTTAAGGAATTTGCATTCAGTTGCAAAGCTAATATCAGAGCTGACATTTGAACATAAGTCTTCTAGAGAAACAAATTAATATGGAGCACATTGAAAACATGTCCAAGGGTTTCAGACTTACCCTTAGGAGTACATTAGCATCCCTGGAAACACTAGGAGAGGCGTTATTTAGAACTGAGTCAGATCTTAGAAAACTACCTTTAACCAGAGTACCCTGCAAACAGGGCTCAAGACTCCAGTGCTGGTGCTGAGCTCACTGTCAGTTTCACTTCAAAAAGACAGCTGCCATCAAAGATTCAAAGCCAACAGAATATAGCATCTTTTTACCCACTTGATATGCATGTTTTTTAGAGTTCTGAACACAACTCCCTCTTATCTTCTCAAGATGCTCTTATAAAGCAGAGTGCAAATGTTTCAGCAGAGGTACATAGGACTTGCAGGACAGGAAAGAGAATAAAAGATTAACTTTTAATTTGCCAATGAAAAGAGTATCTCCAGTGAATTCTTTGAATCAACTGTGTTAAGATGTCTTCTTTTCCTTGCCAAAACTAAGTTCCTGAAACATAACTCTTAAAAAAAAACACTCTAGATTTTCTGTCCAAACAGTGAGCAATAGTAGCCATTAGGATTTGTTGCTCTAATGCAGCGGTTCTCAACCTGGGGGTCGAACGACTCTTTCACAGGGGTCGCCTAAGACCATCGGAAAACACATATATAATTACATATTGTTTTTGTGATTAATCACTATGCTTTAATTATGTTCAATTTGTAACAATGAAATTGGGGGTCACCACAACATGAACTGTATTAAAGGGTCGCGGCATTAGGAAGGTTGAGAACCACTGCTAATGACTTGTAGCAAACAGTGAAGCAAACTGAACAGCAGGTATGAAGGGGTGGGGCAGTGCTGAAATAGGGTCAAAAAACTTCCATATATTGATGATGACCCAAGATGAAGTGTACATGAATTTGCCGCATATAGGCAATGGAAACTATACTGGACAGCTTTCACTTAGCAGATAATAGTTTCAGAAATCTTTCCATTATCCATACTTAACAGAATATATTTCCTCTCATGAGAGTTACTGGTTTGGACAAAGAATTAAAACAAACTAGGCTTTTACTTAGCTTACCCAAACTTTAGTAATGAACTCTTAGAATTTTACTGCCGTTTTACTCACTTCTCAAGTTCTAACAACACATAAAATACAATAAAAAGAAACAGAACTGTCATTCCAGAGAGTGGCACTTATAAACCTAGTAGTACTAGTAATGGATACATAATCTCATCCATGAGTTAGATGGCTGACTAACTGCAAAGCCCATGCTGGATTCCAATTTCTAGGGTTCAAACAACCTCTCTAACTCTTGTCACCTGAATGACCTTGGCAGGTGACATAAGCTACTCTTGAAGCTTTAGTATCTTCATCTGTAAAATGGGGATGATAAAGGACTTGTACGCATAGATTAAATGAGATAACTCTTATAAAGCTAATACAATATAGTGCCTCTTACTGCTAGCCAGTGTCATTAGGATACACTGTTCCATTAGTTTTTGAAAGAATTAAGTATTAAGGATAAAAGCTAGCTTACCAGACACTTGCGGGGGAGGGGAGGAGAAATGCATAACTCTCTTGTAATTTCCCAATTAGAATCACCATTGAAATTTTCATTGTTGGCTCTCTTGCCTACCCAGTTCCTCAATATCTCTCTCACCAAATGAATACCCCAAAATGGCAAAATATCCACACTGATAAAAAAAATTGTGCACCACTTTTAGAACAGAGAAGGACAGGAAGGAGAAAATATAAAGCAGTCCATGTGGAAGAAAGAACAAGACATCATAATACAATTAACAAGAAAGGATAAGCACAGATGCTTCCAATCTCAAGAAATGTTAACTTTTAGAGACAAGCAAGCAAGAAGTATTTTTGTCTTCTTTTTTTTAAGCCAGGCTTTTGGTCTCCTAATTTGAAAAATACTAATTGTGTGGTAAACGTAAACCAAAAACCATCATCAGATCTTTCCCCAAAGTTATCAGGCCACTTTTGACTTCAAAATACTATATTATACTATACACTTTAGTAAATGTATATTTAAACAGCTTTCTGAAAAAAAATTAGCTCTTTTTAAAGGTAAAGTTAATTCATATCCTAAATTACAATATTAACTACAGAAAGGGAAATACTAAATTACTACTTTAAAAAATGATTGAAGTAAACTTGACCTTTTCAATCAAGTTGGATTCCTTATTTACAAGCTGTGTGAGTTTCTGCAGATTTGCATCTACCATTTCTTGTCCAGCAGGAGAGATGCCTAAGAAGCCAGGGACAGAAATCAGAAAGACAGGAAAATTTGAAAGCCTTTAAAGCTGTTTACATTAAAAGAATTTTGACCCTCCCAAGTGGCCCACCCTCCAAAAAAAGGCAAAGAGAAAAACCATTCTGCATTCAAAAGCAAACTTAAGTGGGAAAGCAATACTCCAAAACCAAACCCTAAACAAAAGGACTAAATTTGTCCACAGAGTAGACAAAGTAACAAAGTTGGCCAAGTGGGTTGCAGCTAGCCAAAGTGATTAGTAAAAAAGCACAGCACTCCTCATTTCCTTCTCAAATTTAAGTAGTGCCTTTTCCCCAACCATTCCAAATATGTCTTTAGTTACAACTATTTGGATAGCTTTCTAAGGCAGTGACTCCAAACAGGTATCCATCCACCTGACATCCAAAGTATTTGGAGGGACTTAAAACAGAATACGGATTCCTGGGATTTATCCTTAAAAAACTCTAATTTGGCAAATCTGGTAGAGGACCCAAGCTTTTGTATTTGTCCTGTAGACAGGTCTGCCAACCACTGCTTCAAAGTAACAAAGTTGCCTGGCCAGCTGTGGCTCAGTGGTTGAGCGTTGACCTATGAACCAGGAGGTCACGATTTCATTCCCAGTCAGGACATATGCCCGGATTGCAGGCTTGATCCCCAGTGTGGGGCGTGCAAGAGGCAGCTGATTAATGATTCTCTCATCATTGATGTTTCTCTTTCTCTCTCTCCCTCTCCCTTCCTCTCTGAAATCAATAAAAAAACATACATTTTTTTTTAAAAAGGACAATTTCTGCCAAGTCTTCCAATACAAATTTGGTGTTCCAATCACTTAAGCATGAGGCCTTACACTCCTAACAAATCATTTTCTAAATGACAGGTGCCCTCTGTTTACTGTACCTCCAGTCTGATGTAATCAGTTTTCAAGTAGTAGAATTATAGGGGTGTACCTCACCAAAATCAATCTGCTACTGATTTCTGTTCATGCATGAAAATGCTAGAAGCAACATTTGAAGTAATTGCCCATTTGCATTAGGAAAAATGCTATCTAGAAACACCTCAATAAATATCTGTAGTTTAAACTTTTTGAAGAAAATGACCCACTTCAAAGGGGCAATATTTAAAGAAGAACAAAAAGCAAGAAATGTATAAAATCCAAAAGAATAGAAAAAAAAAAGCAAATATTCATTTCCCTATTTAAATAAGAACTAACATATGGGAATAAAAATAAAGTTGGAGAAATGCAACTCTTTGAAGCGTTATATATAAACCAGCTTTTAAAGACAATACACAAACTTCTTTAGTAAGTAATGAATCTTGCTTATGTGTCCTTAGGAAAATTTGCAAATCCTCTTTACAAACAAAGATTAGCTGAAGAGAAGCCACCTTACCTCCAAGACTAAGCCTAAAATAAGTGTTGAGGATGTCATCACAAAAGCGACACAGGTTGGAGAGCTGTTTCAAATGTTCTTGTAACTGAACTTTAGGGAAGCGTACTTTATAAAGAGGTGCGAGAAAACCAAACACATAGGCATCCAAGGTAGAAGGCCTAAAAATAAATTCAGGATTTTTTAAAATCACTTAAGAAAATATTAACTTGGGATTATAAAAAAATTTTTCTCAAATATAGTAATCAATTCTGAAGTATACAATTTAGTGTTTTTAAAAGTTTACTATCCATTATAACTTATAATAAGGATGCAAGTAGAATTTTACTCAGTTGTTTTTTAATACTGTAACCATTTATTTTATTTAGAAGAAAATCAGTTGCAAATTAAAATGCATTTTTACTCACATGTATTATATAGTAACTGGAGACAGGATGGAAATAGTCTTAGATGTTTTCAATACACATATGCAGTATATTAAGTCAATGTTAGATTACCACCAACAGAAAGTTTCCCCATAGTAAAAATCCATTAAATGTTTTTAAAGTGAAAAACTCACTTTTGGGAGAGCGGGAAGACAAGAGGACTTGCTTTAAATAATTGCTCATTGAATATATGCACACAAAACATCAGAATGATTTTTAAGGGAATGCACTCACGTATCTCCAAAGAAAAACTGAGATGTTCCCAATCTGTTTGACAGAAGATTTAGGCACTCCTTGGCATCTCTGTATATCTAATAAGGATGACATTACATCTCAGGAGGAGGACAGATACTCCAGAACTCCTTTTTAGGTAGGTATCTATGGATTAGCTCATCTCTGCATCTCTCTTGTCCCTCCTCAGGAGGGCCCTCGCTCTGATAGTAACCTCGACCGTACCTGTGCTTCCACTTCTCGGAGGTGGTAGAGGGGAGGCTCTCCTCTGGTCAGGAGAATCCTAGTCAGTGCTCCCTTAGACATTCTTCCAGGAAGGATCAAACTCAAGGGAAAGGGAATTCGTGAAGCAAACCATGGCTTTGTCACAGTAAAGTAATTGTCACTTTCAACCCAGAATGTGTGAAGCTGCAAAAGAAGAGAAAAAATACTACAATGATGTTCTTTAATGAAAAGGTCACTCTATTGATGTGCAAATTTTTCATAAACATCTTTGTATAAAATGACTTCATACAAATTTTCCAGGTAGAAAGACTCAAGGATTAAACAAGATTTTAAATGTGTTTTGTTGGTTACTATATCCCAGGCACCCAGAACCAGGCCTATCACATAGAAGGTGCTCAATAAATATTTGCTGAATGAATGGAATATATTTCACCCAATTCTATATATGGAACAATAAACTCCACCTCCCAAAAAGAATTTTTATTTCCAAAATGACATTATTTTTCACTTTATTGTTTTGCATACTAGTTGAATGTCTAACAGAATCCAGTTTCACAGGAACATGAAAGAATCAAGATTAATATATAAGTGAAATTTCCTCTCTTAAGCCCTTTTTGTTATTTTCCTTCTAAACAGACTAAGTGCATTTTTGGTAGATCATTAAAATATTGTAATATTCACCAATGCTCACCACTGCAGGAAGAAGCTTCTCTTCAAGGAGAGCAATGTAAGCCAGGGTATCTGCCCCTTGTCTTGCAGAGAGTTCATAATCAGCATTATATTTCTATTAAAAAGTATAAAATAAACAAAACACCTCAGAAGTCAAGAGCATCCCCAAAGAGTGAAGCTAAATAAACTAGGATTCCTATTTATTCTTCCACAAAAATGGCAAACATGATATTAAAAGGGGGAAAAAGAAATATAAATTTAGTAACAAATGCTGTTTAACGCAAATGTACAGTATCATGCACACAGTAAAGTCAATAACTTACGATTTTTTATTCACTACTACTATTTCAGTAATTATTAATGACCAATTTCATACAAACTTATTAAAAGAAGCTATTATTATTTTTGTTAACAGTAAGGATAAAGTTCTAACTGGTTACATTTTTCCCCAGTAAAAAAAGAAAGAAAAACTTCCAATTTAGAAAAACTCTAAATTTTGTTGCTGCAAAATTTATTTCTTTTTTTTTTAAAATATATTTTATTGATTTTTTACAGAGAGGAAGGGAGAGAGATAGAGAGTCAGAAACATCGATGAGAGAGAAACATCGATCAGCCGCCTCCTGCACATCCCCCACTGGGGATTGCCCGCAACCCAGGTACATGCCCTTGACGGGAATCGAACCTGGGACCTTTCAGTCCGCAGGCCGACGCTCTATTCACTGAGCCAAACCGGTTTCGGCGAAATTTCTTTAAGAGGGAAAAAAAAAGTGGCCCTGGTTTGTGTGGCTTGTTGTCCCATATACCAAAAAGTGGCAAGTTCAATTCCCAGTCAGGGCACATACCCAGGTTGCCAGGTTAGGGGTTCAATCCCTAATAGGGGTGCATGTGGAAGGCAGCCGATCAAAGTTTCTCTCTCACATTGTTGTTTCTTTCTCTTTCTCTCTCTTCCCTCCTCCACCTCTAAAAAAAAAAAAAAAAAAAAAATCACTAGAAAAAATTTAAAGAATTGGCAAAATCAGTGGTAACTTTTGCATTTATATGTCTTAACATATTTATACATTTTGAATACATTATAAAAATCTTTACATATTCAAATATCTTGAATACAGTATTGCATGAAACATTTAACTACAACTATCAGTTAAGTGTTTTTTAAAAACTAAAATAAATAGTTGCTAGTTGGTGGGATTCCAGATGTCATACCTAGCACAAAATGTGTAGCAAGTATGTAACTAAATTGACAATCATGTCAATAAGTGTAATAGCAAAGATGGCTAAATTGAATCTGCTTATATCTAAACTTCAATAAAATCTAAGCAAAGTGCATAAAAATATAAGTGGACTATACCTCACTTTATAACTTCCAAAATCACATTATAACTCATGACTTGAAAGTTTTTTTATATTAAACTCCAGGTATCCTCAGGTGTCTATTAACTTGGCAAAAAGAATTTTTTAAAAATCTGCAAACCTTACGATGTGTTGTGTGTGTTTTTTAAAGCAACATGCAGGGATCAACAATCTACTTCTTCAAAAAGAACCACCCACCTGTTTTCTTAAAAAGTTCAGTATTTTTGCTGGTTGAGAAACAATCTTGTCTTCAGTGGTCAAAATTGGTACATCTCCTATAATCAAAACAACAGTCTACATACAGGAAACATTTTGATCTCCTCTTAAGATATTCCAATACTCTAAACACTATACCAATTGCACATTTGAAGGGGGGAATGAGTAAGCTCATTTTCGTTTTTTGCAATTTCACAAAGAGCACTTGGATAGAACATTTTAATTTCTCATAATTTCCACGGATTTGGCTTGCACTTTGAAGTATTATTCAGAATGATCAAATCATAAGCAAAACACAGCCAAGGTCATGGTAAAAAAAACAAACAAAAACAAACTAAAATCCCAAGGTACTCCATGGCTGTGTGCTTCAGCGCTTTAAGGGGGGGTGGGGGGAGGCCCTTAAAGAAGGTAGAAGGGGCGTTATAAGTTTACACTGTACCTCTTGAACCTCTCCAGGTGTTATCTATGACACTGACTTTCAAGGGTGCGCCAGAAAATTTGGCGTAAGCCTGAAACAGAGTTTGCAATAAAACCTTTTAGACTGAGCACGTAATGCACATCTGCAGAGCTGCTTTACTTCACAGCCGGTTCGAAGACAGAACCTCTCGACGAGGGGGCGCGGCCCTTCCCCCATCTCTAGCCCCGGGAGCACGCGCGCCGCTACCCGGCTCTTGGGAACCTTGTTCTTCCCCGGAGGATGGGGGCGGGGGGGGGGGGGGGGGTGCGGCGCGTGCCCCGCTTCGGGCTTTCACTCCACCGCCCAGATAGCTTTGCAAGGACGAGAATAATAACGCGGGAGCCGGGAGGAGGAGCGGGGAGTCTCCCGCCACGCCTCGGCGGGGTCGCAGGCCAGGGGTAACTCTTCAGCTGCAGGCAGCCCGGGGCCGTGCAGCGCCCTGCCCGCCTCAGCCCGCGGGAACCGCTACCGGCCGCCGGCGCCGGGCCGGCCAGCCTCGCGCCTCCGGCCCCGCCCCTTCCTGCCCGCCCCTGGCCCGAGCAGCGGCCTCACCATGACCACCAAGGACTCGCTGTGGACCGACGGGAGCCCCCAGCCCCCTCCCCAGCAACTGAGCTCCAAGGGGGCCGCCATCTTGCCGGGGCCAACCTCTGCTATCCCGGAAGTACTTCTGCTGCCCGATTTCCGGCAGGTGAAAGTGAGGGGCGGGGCTCGGGAGGGAAAGGGTCCCTTTGGGCTCTAAGAGGTACGGCAAGGACCGAAGGTGGGTACAAAGCACGCTTAGAACCAGCTTGGCCTAGGCGTTAGGAGTCCTGGGCCTTAACTCAGACCCATCAGTTATTCTGTAAATATTTATTGGCTGCCTAATGTGCCCCAAACCCTTAAACCTTACTACCCTGAGCCTAAACTAACCTGTTCGTAAAATAGGTAAAACTGCTTATTCACAAGATTGTTGTGTTTAACATTATGACAGGAGGAAACATATTTGGCATACAGTAGGCACTTAATAATTGCTCAACCCCTTCACCCACACATTTGGCCTCTGCCTCTTTCCACGCTCAGTCTCAACTGTGTCATCCTCATGTTAACTTGCTCCACCCTCCTTGAAAGGAACCCTGTTCCTGAAATTTGTCAGGTGAATTCTGCTGTCTTTCAGGATAAATTATGTTTGTTCCCTGCCATTGCTCTCTCAAAAATGAGCTTAATTGTCACTTTCCCAGGGATGATTTTACAAAGTTAGGAACTACTAGGTTCCTGCAGCCCCTTGTACGTATTTCAATTGTAGCTTCTATCCCTAGATACAGACCTTTTGCTTTTCACTTCAGGAAGCTCTTTGAAGATGGGACAAGGCTGGCTTCATACTAGTAGAAGTGAGACCTGTGCATTCGCATAGGGCCCTGTGCTTAAAAGGACCCAACTTCCTTAATGTTCTGCTGTTATCATGATATTCTTAATTTTTGAAAAAGGGACCCCGCATTTTTATTTTCAACTGGGCCCTGCAAATCACATAGCCAGTTGTGTCTGTGAGCCTAATGGGCATGAACTAAATGTTTCTGGAACATCAACTAACAATTTCTCAGAAAACTGTTAAAAAGAGAAGATAGGTCTTGAGAATGCCATGATCCTAACATGCTTATGGGGTCCTGGAGTTAGGACTTGTGTTCTATGTCTTTTTTTCTAGAAAGCACAGTAGTCTTTCTGGAATACCCTCCCAGTCATTCCTCTCAGTTTTCTTCCTTACCTCTGCCCAGCTGAGATAGATGGGTCCCCTTAAGCAATTGAGAGCTCAAAACAAACCTCTGCAACATTTCATAAAGGTACAATTCAGCAAATAATTGTAGGCACTCCCTTACTGTTCACATATCCATCTAAAGCTTTTTGTCATGTTTCAAAGGCAAGAGTTCTCAGAAATAGGAAGGAAAAGGCATGTCAAAGGTGGAAATCCATTAGTAATATGGTGTAATTGGGAGATAGTTAATATATGTATTATTAAAACTAAATATGAAAACATTTATTGTGCAACTACTGTGTCCAAGACACTGTAAGGCTCTTGGAGAATACAGAGATAAATAAGTCACGAATTCTATCCTCAGGAGTTTATAGTCTACAAAGGAGACATACAACTAGGTGTAACAAGTCATAGTATCATGAGTAAAGTTAGAGATATAAATAAAATTTTATGGAAGCACAAAGCAGGAATGAAGCCTCCACTGTGAGACTAGTGGAGGCGCTCTCTTCAGTTTTCAGTGAACAGAAGGCAATTCAACTTTCAGGGAACTGTTTTAAAGGTCAAAATTCCAAACCATAAAGTTCAGAATCCATATATTACAATCAGGCATTTTAAATATCATACACAAAGAATGTGACTTCCCTGAGTCTTGTCTGTGGGGTAGATGGGGGTGGAAGTGGATGCACATTCCTAGTGGATACATAATTCCTCAGTTTAGCCTTCTCCCTTACTGCTGCTGTTACACATGTCAACTGCATTTGTTTTAAAGAAAAATTAAATTTCTTCTCTTAGTATTGAATTAAGACAGAGAATAGCATGCTGTTGCATCTAATGAGAGAATCCTTCTCACAGGTTTATTTGTGCTTGTTTAATAGCAGTCTTTTATTGCTGCAATTCCTTTTGAGAATCTGTATTTGCTAGATTGAAGTTAAAATCAAAGTGCTGCTGATTTCACAACAGGTTGAATATTGTTCCAGAGAACCACACAGAAAGCTGAAACCTTCAGGAATTATGCCTGGTATGGGTAGTTGGCCCCTGTGTCTTTTTCTGGCTGCTAAAGAGTATTGTTCAGAGTTCATCAAAATCATTTCAGATTTCTGCCAGGAAGCATACTATCTGCAAAACATTCATGTATGAGTGGGATGACCTGAATCACAGCTTTTTAATGAGTATTCCAGACAATGTTTTCCCTGCAAAAGAACTATTATTTTTCAAGAGATGGACAATAAAAATGACTTCATGTAGTCATAGTCATCTAAACTCAGGAGACCTGACCTTGGCTTCTATTCCTACCCCTCATGTATTTCTTAACTTGGGAGCCATGGTGCAGGTTCTACTAGAATCTGTTTATCTGGGTGATTAAGCATCTGTGAAATGGTGCTATAGGCAAAGATGAAAGGTTTGTGACAGTGCTCATGTAGTGTGATCCCTTATGGGGAAGTTGAACTAGAGAGCCTTGAATGGCCCTTTCAACTCTAAACTTCTATAATTCAATTCCATGTTTAGACATAGAATCCTTGGGAAGGAAAAAAGCAAACACTGAGTGCAAGTCAGGACAGCTGGTTTCCTGGCTGAGTCTCCAATTAGCTATATGAATTTGTGCCAATCATTTTACCTTTAGTCCTCAACTTATTCACTTAAAAAGCAAAGGTGTGTGTGGGGGGGGGGGGGGGGGGAGAGTTAGCTCTGAAATACTATCCTTCTATGTGTAATGAACATTTAATAATAGATTATATTCATGGAGCAATTTCTATATACCAGAAATTGGTTGAATTATCCAAAATAACTCATTGGATCTTTATAATGACTCCATGTGGTAGGTACTATTATGTTCCTGTATTTCCAGGAAAGGAATTAAGGCATAAAGATGTTAATGAACTTGTTAAGGTCACCTAGTTAATAGGTGATAAAACCAGGATTTGAACCCAGCCAGTCTGGGCTTATACTCTTCACCACTATGGCATACTGCCTATAGACTTCTACGTAATTCATTAAAAATCCTAGTTTCACTCAAACTGGAGTTATCAATGCCATAATATTGCTATTACAGTGGGGCCTTGACTTACGAGTTTAATTCGTTCCGTGATGGAGCTCGTAACTCAAATTACTCTTATGTCAAATCAAAAAGTGAATGAGTGAGACACGTAATGCTGGGCTGATGTTGTGGCGTTCACTGTGACGTTCGCTGCACCAACTAGCGGTGGGGTATCTGAAGCTGGTTCGTAACCCGATTTTTAGCTCGCAACTCAAAGCAAAAAATCAGCCGAGAGACGGCTCATATCTCGAAAAACTCGTTAGTCGGGACACTCGTAAGTCAAGGCCCCACTGTATTACTTCTTTTAGTAGTATTAAGTCACTAAACAAGTTCACTAAGCAACTTCTATATTTGCAGCACACTGTAGGCCAGTGGTTGGCAAACTGCGGCTCGCGAGTCACATGTGGCTCTTTGGCCCCTTGAGTGTGGCTCTTCCACAAAATACCACGTGCGGGCGCACATGTACAGTGCGATTGAAACTTCGTGGCCCATGCGCAGAAGTCGGTATTTTGTGGAAGAGCCACACTCAAGGGGCCAAAGAGCTGCATGTGGCTCGCGAGCTGCAGTTTGCCAACCACTGCTGTAGGCTATCAGGGAATAAAAACGCATGTTCATAGTTGATAAAACAAGGCCTACATATTTGAGGTAACTGTAGATGATTGGGAGGTACCATTTTGTCAAGCAGATCACAAGTCTAGTGTGGTTTTAGACAAAGGCTGTCACATGCTGCAATGCTTGGCAAAAGCCTAGCGGACAAATTAGGATATTAGCTGACCTTGGAGGGTACAGTGGATTTAGAGCATGGACTACGCTGCAGGAGCAAAGCATAGAGATGGAATGACTATGGGAAAGAATCTGAAGATAAGTAAATGGATGCTGGATTCAATAAAAATTGGGAGAATGATTAGAAAAACTGTTGATTGATTAACCTGAGAACCAGAGGTGGTGAGAGTGAAAGGCCTGGGGATATACAGTTTCGAGAAGGTAAAAAAGAAGAGTAAACATCCAAATACAATATTAACGGATTCACATTTTCATAGATGAAAGATGGAATGCTATGTTGCATAGATAATATGAACCCATAAATTGTATTAAATTAAGCAAAATGTTGTGATAAATGAAGTGAAGAAATGCTGCTGCATAGCATTAGAAGAAAGTTACCTGGCACCCTTGCACTGAGCATTTTTCATTGACTAGGTTGTTACAAATCAAACGGCAAGGGATCCCACTCCAGGAAAAAAGAAAAAAACTGCAAAGAATAACTGAAGAAATTGGTATTAGGAATAGGGACCCCTATGGTAAGATCATGAGGAATGTGACACAGATAAAGGAAGGAAAGATAATGGACAGGAACAGAAGACCCAAAATAAAGTTTTTGCAGGAGATGACAGGGTAAATCTACATACATTGAAGGTAAAATTGGCTACTTGTGAACAAAAGCCTTAAGATGCCAGGGAGAACAGGGATGGGATCCTAGAAATTACCCTACAAGTTAAAAGGCTGAGATCAGTAGCTTAGCCGTGGAGCTGGCATTGAAAATGAGAGACATGCTTTCTCTCTGACACTGGAGGAAGTTTCAAGGGGAGGATGGGATGCTGAGTTAGCTCAAGTCAGTTACCTTCAAATTTCCCTGTTACATTAGGAAAAAATGTAAAAAGCCTGAGAGAAAGAGATTTGGGCTTTGAAAGAGAGAGAATAATTTAGAGAATGTGCCAGGGAGTTAGTAAAAAAATGAGTGGAAGAATTGCTGACGGTGGCAAAGTTTAAATTTAAATTAGTATGAAGGAGATAAATCAAGCGAGAACCATAGGCACGCTAATAATTAGGTGCCCTTTCAAACAGATATTCTTTAAATATTTATTCAACCTTTTTTAAAAAATGGAAATGAAGTTAGCTAGAGAATGTAACAGGATCAATTTATATTTTG